GAACGTTTCACTGGGATGAGTTTTCAGGGGTACGTATTATGGGCACAACTAACGTTCATTACTTCAGCAACACAAACCCACAGGAACAATCGTCAACGTGAAGAGGCTGATGGACGCTTGGGTTGGCCCCGTGAATGGAGATTTGTTTTAAAACGGACGGAGGGAGAGTCGATAAGAGGCCGGTTGTTTGGCAATTATCAAAAAGGGATTCGCATATCACCGCAGCAAAAATCGAGCATCAAGTATTTCACCTCATGCAAACATATAGCAGCTAGCGTAGAAGCTAGGTGGCGTTCGCTGCTATATGTTTTGCATGAGGTGATACTGTCGGGTTTGATGTGCTGCGTGGTGGTATGGATTCCTTTTTGCATAATTTGCAACAACCGTGCTCTATGCGACTCTCCCCTCCGTTCGTTTTTTAAACAATCTCCCATTTCACGGGGGCCAACCAAAGCGGTCTCATCAGCTCTTTCGTTCACCGTTTGGCTATTTCACTGTGGGTTTGTTGTTGTCTGAAGGTAATGAACGTTTGGTTGTGCTCCGAGTTATAAGTCGGTACCCTGAAACTCATTNAAAGGACCCAGTTAGGGTTTTGTTTGCTTGTAAATACACAGCGAGAATATTTTAAATCAAATTTCACTTGTTTTGTTGCTGTCAGAAAGATAGCAAAGTCTCAGTAAAGATTTCTTATCCTCTTAACTCTAGATAGCTAACAAATGTTTGAGCTTACCTGTGAATAGGAGGAGGAGGAGGCCAAAGAGGGTCAGTAGCGGAGGAATGTCAGTTAAACTGTCGCCGTGAGAGGAGGAAGGAATGAAGAGATGAAGGATGGATGGAGGAAGGGATGAAGAGATGAAGGGATGGATGGAGGAAGGGATGAAGANAAATCAAATTTCACTTGTTTTGTTGCTGTCAGAAAGATAGCAAAGTCTCAGTAAAGATTTCTTATCCTCTTAACTCTAGATAGCTAACAAATGTTTGAGCTTACCTGTGAATAGGAGGAGGAGGAGGCCAAAGAGGGTCAGTAGCGGAGGAATGTCAGTTAAACTGTCGCCGTGAGAGGAGGTCTTCCTCTCTACCTTCATCTTGTGTCCTGGGCAGAGTCTTTCTCCCACTCAGTGTGCATGGTTTATCCACTCTGGGCACGTCTTTGCGGCTCAACTCTCTTCACTGCCTGCCTGCCACTCTGGCCTCTGCCTGGTCGCACTGAGCCCCACTCTCCTCACAGCACCCCAGTCACAGCCAACAACAGCCAACTGTGTGTGTGTGTGTGTGTGTGTGTGTGTGTGTGTGTGTGTGTGTGTGTGTGTGTGTAGTGTGTGTGTGTGTGTGTTGTGTGTGTGGTGGTGTGTGTTGTGTGTGTGTGTGTGTGTGTGTGTGTGTGTGTGTGTGTGTGTGTGTGTGTGTGTGTGTGTGTGTGTGTGTGTGTGTGTGAGTGAGAGTGAGACAGAGACATAGTGTAGATGAGCTCCTCTCTTCCACTCCATGTTGCCCTTTCAGAAAGGAGCTCAAAGAATATACTGTTTGCTTTTTTGGGGGCAATTATGTACACATTAAAGTGATTGTTTTTTAAAGTTTCTCAAAGCAGCTTAAGGCTAGGAACGGTCTTTTTAAAATAGTTTTTCAATACTAATAATATTGAGTAACTTAGCAAGAATTTCTGCTGGAAAAAACTATTACACTTCAGCTCTGAGAGGAGCCCACTTAAAGCTCTGCAATGTCTGAGTCTGAATAACAACTCACTTCCCCCCTCTTTGACCCACTTTTGTCACATTGTGCAAACTCCTCTGTGGACCGGAGCCTCACAATAAACGTACAATTTGTCACTTGGCAACCAACCCTTGTTTAACCACCCAAGCACATGCAACCTTGAAGCGTTTTGCTGCTAGATGCAGAGTACCTGTCAGGTTCATGATCAATGTACGGTACTATACCTGGAGCTGAACGCTACATAATAATAAGAGCAACCAATACAAATTCTAAACCACTGTAATACCTTATTTGTCCTCTAGGTGGTGTAGAAGGTTGTGAACTGAAGAAGACAATGCTTAAAGAAAACGGCAATCACATTACATGTTACTATTTAGACGCTTTTATCCAAAGTGACTTCCATACTCAATACTGTGGACAATCCCTACAGGAGCACTTTGGGGTGAATTGTCTTGCCCACACAATGACATGCTGACTGCATTGTTGATCCCAACACCAAGGCTCTATCCACTGCGCCACACGCCTCCCATCACATGTTTTGACATCAAGGTTGGGGCTTTTCCGCAACAGTATTTTTATTGTTTTCCCCCTGACATTAACATCCAACATGCATGTGGAAAACTGAAAATAAGGTCAAGCACATTTGTCAAAAAAAAATTGCAAAAGTAAAAAGTATCAGAATATCCTCAATAGGAGAAGACGCTCAATTTAAAACAATGCCTACGAAAAGATAAAATGTGCAATAATTTGAATTATACATTCATTCATTGCCTTGATCTCCTGAAAGACAACATACCGTTTCATTTTGTGTAAATAACTATCAAACATGATGCTGTGTATAAAATCCCAATATGTCACTTTGTGTTGGCTTTTTAGGATTTCATGTATGAAAAAGTGTGCACTGATGAGTCAATTGCATTACAATACATCTTTCCCACTTTAGGAAAGCAGTCTTTTGTTTAGTTTTTTTTTTAGAGCATTTTGTTTGCCCACAAAGGGAGGTTTTATGCAGAGGAGGAAACATGTTTGACAGAAAGCTGCAGGAATGTGGGAACAGCTGCTGTTCACTACCCCTCTCCCAGGGCTCAGACTGCTGTGTAGTAGGCCATCAAAGCTGAACCTCTCCTCTCCACCTTTGCCCTTCATAAAAGCAGCACCACCCTCTTCCTCTCATCTTCTAACACACTCTAAATCAAGGGGTCTCTTTCCACTCAATACAGAAAAATAGCAGGCGCATACACAGGGCCTGTGTGTCTCAGTCAGTTTGGGTGCTTGGGTTATGACAGAAACCATTCAGGCCACAACACAAATGATGTCATCCTGTGTGACTCAGACATAAAGGTTTGACAAAATACATCTTAACAATGTGATACACCGTGTTGCTGATACCATGCCTTGTGATTCCTTTTTTGTGAGTAACAGATGGTGACCAATGTGTAGGTGTTGTTCATTCAGCTGTGGCATTAAAGTCGCCTCATTACCGTTAAGTTGTGTAACCTACTTGGCATTAAAGATACTGTTTCTTCTAAGACGGGGAGGCTGATATAATTGTGCCTCCTGCTGTTTGTCCTAGCTTATTCATCTCTAATTATCACCCGGGAGACGAGAAAGATCTTTCCTCTGACAAGATGTCTGAGAAGGAACCCAACATATCCAAGCTGATCCTTCACATTATCTACTCCTAAAACAGTTCACGATCAGCTTGACAATTTGTCTCAGGGAGTATTCTTTTCTTTTCTGTCTAAGGCTGCACTTTTCAAACTCAGACTTGGTCAGATGACCCACATGACCATGAATTAAGTCACTAACCAACACGATTTCAGGCTTTTTTTGTATATGGTCGTTCTCCTGACTTACAGAAATCAATCAAGTGGGCGCTGTGCTATGTTTGGAGGTGGGCAGAATATTGATTGTTCACCCACAGTCATTAAAGAGACAGCAGAACGTGGCCATGGCACCTCTGAGACTGAGTAGGATAAAAGAGAAAAGCAGTCCATATAAAACCCATAGAGGATGTTCATGAGAGCGCAGCGGAGGAGGAATGTCAGCCTGAGATGGAAATGCTTTGCAAAACCACTGAGAGCAAGTGTCATGTTGGTTGTCCTATCTCTACAGCTGGTGACACAAGGCCTGTGTGTGTCGGTGTATGTGTGTGTGCGTTTCTGTGTGTGCAAAAGAGAGAGAATGAGTGACTTGAGTGGGATCTGCATACTAAAGTGCGGGTTGTGAGGATACATTCGCAGTTTGAGTTTGTGCAGAGTGCTGTGCGGCTCAGATGTGTGTAGGTGGGCTGTGTGGGAGCACTGGGAGACTGAAGATGCTCAAGTCTGTTTCTCATAAAGTGGGCAAGATTGCCTGGGCATATGAAGCAACATTTTTCTTGTTTCAGCCATATTGCAATAAAGTTAAACCACAGAAGTATTGCAACAATATTAGGTGCAAACATCACCCAGTGTGGTTACTGTCTATAACGATGCACTTGTTGATAAGACACATTTTAGAAATGAATGCTTTCAAGGCTCTGCAACTGTGTACAATCTAATTATTTGAATGGCCCCTTATAGCTATTATTATGAGTAAAATCCCAATTAATGTTTAGGGTAATTGGCAGTTGTGAAATGAGAAATGAACAAATGTATGATATTAATTATTCATGAGATTTCATGCACAAGAGAGCCACACGGGAGAACAGACATTGTTTTAGCTGGACGGAAACTGCTGTATCCAATTAGCCTTGCTTACCATAAGCTCCTGTGACAAATGAAAATGTAGCGGCATTGTCTGGTGTAATGTACAAAGAAATTCAACTTGACCGTGTAAAAATTAAGATTGAGGTGACAGACGACATAAAAATAGTGTTTGAAAGGAAGAAATAGTTAACCTCTGCTTATGAAGTTCAAAACAGACATTGCATTGAATATTTATGGTCGATTTATTAGTGTAATGACTTGACTCTACAGCAATTTCATCAAGGTACTATTTAACTAGTTTTAAAGCATGGCGGAAAACTTTGATAGTGAATGTCACACACCTGATACGTCAAACAGCTAATCTACTCACACAACAATGGAGCATATTGAAGCAATTTCTGATAACTTAACGCTGTACCAAATACACCTGGGAATATTTTTGTTTTGTTTTAATGCATGCTTAATGTTCCGGAAGATCAGATTTTTAGAATATGCTTTAAAAAGTGAAAAGAAAATCTATTTTAATGTGATATAAAAAGAAAGAAATTGAGATGCAATGTGAATAAAGTGACATTAAATAAATAGATCATACATAGCTACTTCTCTTTAGATGTTTTAATCATTTTTGTAAGCAAGTCAAATAGGTGAATAATAGTCAAGATACAAGCACAACATAAACAAAGCAAACAAGCAAATAATTTAAGCCACTACAATGTCTAAAGCTGATGCACACAAAGTCTTCACACAGATGGTATGAACTGATCCATCCGATATAAGCCGTGTTTAGCATTTAGAGGACATTCATTTTCACATTCACAGATCGTCAATCTAAAAACTAGCACACTACCAGAAGTTTCACAAGTACATGCAGTGAGTTGCACATTCTGGGTCAAAGACATCCGTACTGATGATACTGCTGAAGAAGCAGAGAAGGAGTGTTAAAGTTCACGAAATTAACATATCACACCCTACAAACTGCGGGTTCATTTTCTACTGCTAATTTGTGTTGAAAAATAAAATGACTCCTGGGGTAAAAAGATGTGCCAGCCAGCGTATGCCAGCCATCTCTCTTCCTCTTCATCCAGGTCAGGACAGGGGCGTCACTGCTCTGGCACAGATGTGTCGTCTCTTTCTACTGCCCCCGATCCTCCTGTCTCTAAAAACAGAAACAGGCAAGGCCTAGTTAAAACACTGCAGAGCCGGGGGAAAAAAAGCTTTTATATACGCTCTGTTGTTTAAAGGCTCTAATGCATAACCACAGACTGTAAGGTTACTTGTGGGTGGATATATTTTAAAAGCACACTTGAAGAAAACTTCAAGTTGCTTGGAGGTTTTTCAAAACGACAAATCTATTTATAGAATTGATTTCTAAGTTTTGAGTATTTTGCAATGCTGATAACTTGACTGACATATTTGAAAAGCTCAAGGCCCAGTTCTGTTGTGAAGGGGGTCTTCCCCAATGGGAGGCAATGCATGGTTTCGGTCCGACAGGTCCATTAATTCTGCCTGGCCCTATGAATCATATAGTGTACCTAGAGCACCTGGCGCTATAAATACATCTCTAACTGGGTTAGGGAGAATCATTGACGAGAATCTCTTGTGTCAGCCACGTCCTCAAAGAAAATGCTGCTTTGTCTTATAGGCAAAGGGGACATTTTTAGAGCTGGGAGTCTAAAATGCCGTCTTACTTCTCAAAAGATCTGGTAAACATGTTACTTTAGTGGATATCTGAAGAAAGTGTGTTCTGATTGAAATGATACTATGATGATGATTTTTTTAGAGATACAAAGAAAGCCTAAAATCTTATCTTAGTGCAATCTTTGCTGGTGTTGAAACAGTTAACACACTCAGGCGAGGACAGCAACACATCATCAACTGAATTCTGAAAGCATTTTAATGTCATGTATAACTAGGAAAACCTGTTTACCATTGTGAGGATGTAACTTGTTATATTTCACGTGAACCAAACTCTGACAAACATCTTTTCTCTGTAGTGATCTAACAGCTCACCTTCAAGCCGGTTCATTTATAACCCTCTTTAACAGAATCTTTCATTGAGAGATTTAATCATCCATTGCTGGAGACTATATGGGTAATTAAACGAGTCGCTCTGTTATGTATTTCATTAATCACACTTGGGGTAACCCATAAGGGGCTTAATCATTTATAGCTTTTAAAAGGTTTCTTCTCCAAGAGTGAATAATAGTTTATCAGTTCGTGCTCCTGCATTATCTGTTGAAAAAGCTGGATTCCCGAAAATTCTTAAAATGCATCTCAGGTCAAATGCTCAACTATAACATGCACAACATCAAATTGTGTGAACTTATCCATCTTATGTATAATATTTGAACTCTAAGTCTATGGTCAAACAAGCAACGTATGCTCTGTTTCGCTTACCTTTCTTCACTTACTTTAGTTACAACTCCTGATGGGAGCCTCTGTTACCATCCTTACAGTCACTAGCCATAATGCCCTCTTTAATGGCATTATGTGTCCTACTCTTACCCCTTGGTTCTACACCACTGACCTGTGTCCCCCTGGCTGCAGTTCAGCACATTCCCAGTGCTGCTCACCTCCTCCCCTTCCGCTTTGTCCTCCGGCTTCATCTTCTTACGGGTCATGTGCCCACGGAAGCCAGCCTGGATCTTGGCAGCAGCCCTGTTGGCTTCAGGGTCATCCAGGGGGATGTCCATGATGTCCTCCTCCTCCTGGGGCCGGCTGCAATCCTCCTGCAGAGAGGGACAGAAAGAAGTAGGATATCACAGAAGGGGGGCCATATTAAATGATCGTATAAACATGTTGTTTTTTCCTAGAATATTGGTGGAAGAATCTAACACTCAACAGATTGCAATACCATATTTTGTTAACAGTACACGCCACGATGCTATCTTTTAGACAGCAAGTGAAGTGTGCTTGTTGCCGAGTGGCTCATCCTTATTACATGACTTTGACAGGGCTCTTAGGAGGTCGCTAAACAACTTTCCTTCCATTTTTCATAACCCTTCTGCGCTTGTGATGTAATACACTGATGTAGTAGTCAACCTATTTTGTATTCTTTGAACATACGCCGGCAGAAAAAGCAGGTATATGGACTCCCAAATTGAGAAACAGTTCTTGTTTATAAAACAATTGATCATTACACGAAAAAACTGCTTTTTTTTGTTAAGGAACAATTATGATGTGAAAGATTGCATTCTGTTTGATGATTGACTTATAACTTATTGTTCTAATTTCAATTAGATCATAGGTATGGTTAAATGGCGTTTTAGTCAAGAGAAAAACACCTGGTTTTCTGCAACCAAGGCGGAAAACGGACAACCCATCTAAAAATGCAGCTGTTAACACCAGCAGCATATTCAGTGACTGGAAATACAGCATCCACTGTCCCGAAGGAAACATGGGGTAGGCGGAAGAGAAACTCTGGTTTGTCATAAAGTGTCAGTGGATCAGCACCAAGGCTGTCAACAAGTTATGTAAACACCAATTGAAAATGTGTAGAGAACACATAAATGCTACACCCCTTGCTTTGACGTATAGAAACAGATTGACATTTCATACAAAACAAGCCCACTGTCATCCCACTGCCTTGGTAAAGCAATGCATCATGTCTCCAGTGAAACCCCTCCAGTGTAGGAGTGTGACCACCCACCTGTTCAGCCAGCATTCATTAGCCTCTCTGTCTGACTGCTCACTGAGCTGCCAGAATACAGTTGTTGTTTTTTTTGCAGTGCTGGTGCACCGCAATTCGCTAGATAAACACCTCCTTAGATCTGACACAAATTGATTTTAAATATCCTGACACAAATCTCATGTTATATTATCCACATAAAAAAAAGGTTTAAAGCTGTGTACAATATATTATGTGGTCAATTGTCTTAAAAAAATATATCCTGTGTGTGAAATGGTTAACATAATATACTGCTTTTAATTGATCATATACTGCCTTTAACTCTAATTGAAGAAAGAAAAAACACACATGGCAGTATGCAGTTTAAGGACCTGTAAGTACCATCTGTAACGAACTGTATTACCCAAATAACCAAACCGATGAGATTTTACAAATGAAAAAAAAAAAATCTATTAAAAAGTTAATGTGAAGCTTTTACTTACATTGTGACAGTCCATGTTTGACTCTCAGAGACGACTTCAGTCTTCAGGTGAGCTGACCTAATATGACTTATATGCCTTGATTTTTCTATGTGGACCAAGCAAAGCTCTTTTGAAATGAGTCTCCGGTATAATACAGATGCCTCACTGGCTCTTAGTAACAATCACTGTATGTTCAGTAACTCCAGCTCATGCACAGAGTGAGAGAGGGACATACAGTCAGATAGAGGGAAGAGAGAAAGAGGGAAGACGGGAGGGAGGGAAAAGAGAGACCTCCTACAAACATGACAGCATGTGTTCCATCCTTTAGTCCCATTAAGGCTGCTGACCTACTGTGTTCACATTACTGAGCACAGCCTAAATACTTAGAAAGAACAGTAAATGATACAGGCTAAATATGCGGACTACTTAAGCGATTTAAAGTTAAACAATTTGGAAAAAAGTGAAGAGCTGTTGCAGCGTGGATACGACAAAATAACTACCACATAAACTGAGCGTCATGCAAATTCACAAGTTGCAGTGTTACAACATTAAACTCCACAAATAAAAACAGATGACCAACTTAGAAATACTATGTAAAAGCCAGATGGTCATTAAACAATAATCGCTGACTTTCAAATGTTACTAATAGCGTGAAAAAAAACAACGTGTAAGCATCTTGGACTGTTTTGCACTCGGTGTTATACATTTATTAGAGGCAGAGTGAGCTAACAACCCTCTCCATCCCTCTGATCCCAGCTGGTACGGCCGCCCACGCTCCTCTGCTAGCCTCAGAGACAAGACGGAGAGGGAGAGGAACAGAACACATCCATTTATCGGAGTTATATCTCTGACATTAATGCTCTCCTGCTGGTTTTGTAACCATTCAAACAATATGTTCTCCTCACGCCTCATTTCACAAAGCTGTCTTGTTTATTCATCAATTCACTGTTAATTTGAAGGAACAATCACCAATGTGTAATTATGTTCACTGCAATAAATCATCATTAATCTACTCGTATTAAAAGAAAAACCACAGTATTTATTCTCCTAAAATGATAAAAGTATAGGATGTTGGGAGTTGTGAACAGTGACCTAAATGCATATAAATTGAAGAAAAAGGACTATATATTCAACTGAGATGATATCACTGGATATAATGTACAATTTTGTGGTAGATTAAACTGGAATTACTTCTGCCACTAAACAGGATCATACAGAATAGCATTGTTCTGTATGTAGAAAAACAGAAACTGCTGTTTTTACTGTTTAATCAAAGACTGCTATTAAAGGTAGATCACTGATACAGATGGTGCCTAGCAACTACCAGCATCACCATCTCCTATTAAAACCATGACGACACTAACAGAGTGCAGGATGGTGAGGGGTTACCATGGTAACACTCTTAGTAGACCTTCCTACACTCCCCTCGCTGTGCATTTGGAGCCTCGTTGGTCCAGACAAATCAGACATGGCCAACAACTGTGACAGCAGTAAAAAAGGGGCCTTAATTCACAAGACAAATTGTCCAGTCGCTCTTTAATGATGACGGATCACTAAATCAAGATTCAATCTGTGGGAGCTGTGGTAGCTCCCGAGAGTAGAGTGGATCTGGCACTAACAACGCCACATTACAGTTTTATGAGCATGCAGCAAAGCAATGGCCCAGAACAACTTCTGTAAAACGCACTCACATAAACAAAGACACCGATTTTTGGCCTAAAACCAAAGCTACCCTTTCTGCATAATTCAATTAACATGATTTTCATTGTGACCCTTGAGATTCAATTGAAAGGTGACCTATCATGCAAAATGCACTTTTGTACGTGTTTTATTCATGATTATGTGTCCCCGGTGTTCCAGGGAACTCACCAAGTGTCAGAAAACACAACCCTCTCTATTTTCCTCCATACCCAAATCTCTTAAAAAGGGGCTGCAACGGATCAGATACAAACTGATCCAGATTTGAACACTTCTATGACGTCACAGAAGTGGCGCTACGGCTATTGGGCCAACTCCACCAATCAGGAGGAGACAGCCACGGACATTGCCGTTGGAAAGCGCTGGAGACGCTGTGGTACATATGCCAGGCCTGTACATGGTGCTGTTCTCACAGAATCAGCCCATGCAAAGACAGTGTTAAATTGAGCGAAATGAGGAATGGCTAAAATGCATGATCTGTTTGGTATTTTGAAAAATAAAAAGTATAAATATGCCTTATATAGGTATGGTCCTACACTATATTATTCAAATATAGCATGATAGGTCCACTTTAAANAGAGAGGGGACGAAGCAGGCCAAGGTTGGAAGATCAATAATCATACACTCCTGAAAATGTCCAGGGGCCTTACAAGGTAAAGTATGGTTTCATTCTGTGTGTGTGTGTGTGTTGTGTTGTGTTGTGTTGTGTTGTGTTGTGGTGTGGTGTGGTGTGGTGTGGTGTGGTGTGTGTGTGTGTGTGAGAGAGAGAGACCCATTCTAGGGGAACGATATCATAAAACTCCTACTCCTGTCCTGCAGGTAGACAGCCCTAGCATTGCTGGATTGATTCGACCAATAATTCTGGCAACAGCTCATTTAGCTGAGACCAGAGTCTATGCTTCCCATCCGTCGCCCACTCCCGCTCTCTGCCTCTCTCCACCATTATTTCTTTGCAACTCGAAAAAGAATTCAAAATTGAAACATGGCATGAATCCATGAAATTTGGTGGTGAGAAAAAAAAAGTTGAAATTAATTGAGGCAATTTGATGCTGATGGCTCTGATGATAAGTGGATGAACTGTTTAATATCCACAGCTCTCCCTGAGGCAAGAGGACCATCACAACTGGAGCTAGTTGCCAGGCCATGCCTGCTTCTTGCAAACACATGCAGTATAGATGCATAGGTTATTGCATTTTTAATGAATGTCATCAAAAGGCCAAATGTGATTTTAATTGAAGGGGAAATCAAGTATTTGACATTTAACCACCTTGAAAGGATAATGGTATGTCAATTAGACATTTTGTCATCTTATATCTCAAGAAAAAGTAGGTTCAAACTGATCTAACTGTGTCTGCATCATGGGGAGGGATTACTAAACTGTGAGGCTCAGAGTAGAGTTGAATAGAGTGCACAGTGGGAGATGTATTCTCCAATAATGAAGAAGACATGCCTTCATTTGTCAGCCTTGAAATCATTTGAGAAAAAGAAGAAGCCTAAACAATAGTAGACAATGCTTTCCTGTACCATGGCATCAAAATCTTCCTACACTGACTGAGCAGTTGCTGGTTAATTGTTACAGTATTCCAACTGTCAACATTTGATAACATTATATTTATCCTAGACTATGGCTGAGAATCATGCTTACTTTGATACTGGAAAGTGGACATGCAGTTGCAAAAACATTTTTTTTCCATACAATTCCTACCATTAGAGTTCGAATGCTTAGGGGTTTGGAGAGGAGGCAGCATTTCCGCCAGGGGGGCGTCTTGCCGTCATTTGACACCCTTATTCAGCTCGGGACGCCCTGAACGCAAGCCGAGGGCGTCCAAAAATATTAATAATTCGAGAGAAGATCGAGAGTTTTTATCGCTTGAAATGACGAAAAGGAAAAAGGACATCCCTCTATTGGAGGGGCAAAAGAGTCTGGTGGGATTCTTTTCGGAGTATTGAAGATCGCTTCCCCGACATCGAAGGTGCCTGCTACAGGACAACACGGAACGTGCGCGATTTGGACGCGATGAGCGGGGTGTTTTAGTGGAGCACGCGCGTGAGCTACGAGCACCGGAGCCTCGCAGCGGCGAAACTGAGGCTCCGTGGTAAACTGTGTTAACATGAAGAGCCGTTTGGGAGCCGAAGCTTTAAGAGAGCCGAGCCAAATGATCCGGCTCACTAACGTAAAAAGACAGTATCTATAAAGGACGGCTCAAGTCAAAATCCACCCCCCCCCCCGCGCTCAGGGTGGACGCCTCTCAGCCCTGGTCTGGCGGAAACACTGTCCGCCGCTAATCAGCTGTTCAGTTTTCCCGATGCTGCCCTCCTTAAGAGGCACTTCTGGTGGCCAACTGTCAACAAGGACACTCAGGAGTTTGTTTCTTCCTGTCCCACGTGTGCTAGGAGCAAGTCCTCCCACCAAACACCTGCAGGGTTGCTCCAGCCTCTACCCATTCCTAGCCGCCCCTGGTCACATATCGCCTTGGACTTTGTTACCGGCCTGCCTCCCTCCCTCCCAGGGTAACTCCACTATTCTCACCATTGTTGACCGGTTCTCTAAATCTGCCCCTTTTATATCCCTTCCGAAGCTTCCTTCAGCCCTGGAGACCTCCCAACTCCTCACTGAACACGTTTTCCGTCTGCATGGAATCCCTTCTGACATAGTCTCTGACCGCGGCCCTCAATTCACCTCTCAGGTTTGGAAAGAGTTCTGTCAATCTCTTGGTGCATCTGTCAGTTTAACATCCGGTTATCATCCCCAGTCAAACGGCCAAACTGAGCGAACCAACCAGGACATGGAATCAGCCCTCCACTGCATTGTTGACTGTAACCCCCCAACCTGGAGCTCTCATCTTCCCTGGGTTGAGTACTCTCATAACGCTTTAACCTGTTCTGCTACTGGTCTCTCCCCATTTGAAGCCTCTTTAGGGTACCAACCGCCCCTGTTCCCTGAAGAGGAGAGAGAGCTAGCAGTTCCTTCGGTCCAGCAGCATGTTCGTCGTTGCCAGAAGATCTGAAAAGACACTCGCTCTGCTCTCCTCCTGACTTCTGCCCGGAACCAACAGACAGCCAACCGCCACAGACAAGCTGCCCACACTTACGCCCCAGGTCAGTCTGTTTGGTTATCTACCAGGAATATTCCCCTCTGGGCCCAGTTCGGGAGAGCGGAAGTGGACCTGTTCGCCAGCCAGCGCAACAGCCACTGTGCCATGTGGTTCTCCATGGCTCTGAGCGACGATCCGCCCTTGGGGGTGGACGCGTTCGCACAATGGCAAAGCAAGCTGCTCTATGCCTTTCCACCGCGGTGTCTCATTCTCCCTCTCCTGGGGAGAGTGAGGCGAGAACGTCTGTCAATCGTCCTAGTCGCTCCGGATCGCGTCGGGGCACCGTGGTACTCAGAGATGACACAGATGAAGGTGGGCCAGCCCTGGGCGGTTCCCCAGTTCTGGTGGGCGATGCCTCAAGAGGCAGGTGCAATCTGGGCGTTACCCACTCTGGGCCAACCTCTCCAGGCTTGGCTCCTGAGAGGGACAGGCTAAGACAGAGTGGATTGTCTGACAGTGTTATTCAGTCTATCCAGGCAGCTAGAGCTGAGTCAGATGCCTACTGTGGGTCAGTGGGCATCCGACCCCCTCCCCGGGCGTAATGCGCTTACGTTTCCCCTGGCCCCGGGGGAAACATGGCGCGCACTGGGTCCTTAAGGTGCTGGAGGACTCTTTCCCCCTGCTTTAGGGCAGGAGGGTGGAGCCCTCCACGTCATAGTCCATACACGCTCTTCACGTGGGAAGCGTGTCTGAGTGTGGGACATGGGGCACTTGCGCTCTCCCCGTGCTCCTTAGGGACTCGGGAGAGGTGGTGCATAGTGAGCCCATACAGGGCTGAGGGCTCAGGTAGGCCCGCCCCGGGGCCTGCTACGGTAATAGAAGTCTCAGTGGATGAATGCTTGCATGATATGATCAAGGTGTAGTACCCATAGAGTCCAATAGAGGGCTCCGCCTGTGCGTATATAAAAAGGGTTACCATACGTAACCCCTCGTTTTAGGAATCATTACTGCACCACACTATTGTTCTTATATTTGTTATATATCAGTTGTCATGACTTGTGGTTGCCAAACCTTGCCAATCTGCAACAATACCTTACCATATATCCTACATTCGTTGTGAATTCCGCTGTGCAGTGCAGCGTCTTGAAGTTTCATATCAGTTATTCATACCGGGGCAGAGGGGTACTCAGGATGGCCTTTTGCTAAAATGTCACAGGATGTTAACCTATATATCTACACAGTGACGAGTGGAGCTTCAGCGTTCCAATAAAATAATGGAAAAGGCAGAAATCCATTATAAAGGCAAATGTTACCTTTGCATGAGAATGGTGATCTGATTGCTCCAGCTCCTTGAAATGTGAGTTATGGTTGTACTGCAGGCTGCTGCTCTCTTGTAGAGATCCATCTATACATCTTGCAAAGTGTGTAACATCTTGCCTGTGTCAAAAAGGATCTGTGTTTGTGAATGAGTAGCACATTTAAAGTGCGTTTTAACCTTTATTTATGCAGATTTTGCTCTTCATGCTCTTTTCCACCATCGTCCTACCTCAAAACCTTTACTTAATATACAAATATACACATTTTACAGACATTAAGCAGGGGAAAAATTGTTGTTTTGCAAGAATTCCTGTTAGGAAATCACCTTGCAATAGTTTACCTGTTGTCCGGTATTTTCCTATATATTTAGTCTGTAATCCTTGTGCGTTGTTAATTCTTTGTACGTTTCCATATTGTTTTTTATTTTCCCTATTTTATGCACACATTTTTAAAATAACTTTACCCTCTGCTGCTCAAAATATTGAAGTATTTAGTAAAAGTAGTAGGTTCCCTCTGCTTACTTATTCAGGGGCTGATGGGTAACAGAGGGCAGCGACCTTGAGACAGATCTCCTTACTCCGGCTAAACGATGGAAACAAAGGAAACAGAGCAGAAAAGATTCTGTGCTATTCCTGAGGAGTCTCTTAAAAAATACGCACGCACGCACGCACGCACACACACACACACACACACACACAACCCATTTCCAAGACAATATACACGAAATGCCCCGGGCTGTTGTCACAGACATGCTCCCAGGCACAAACACATGTAGGCTTTCTCTCTTAGAAACTCACACAGAGTACAGAATTTTTTCATGCATAGTGCTGTTAGGGTTAGGGTTAAAAACATTCTGGTACACAAATTATTCATCAAAGAGGGGAAGCATGTATAAAGGTATAATCAAAAAGCAAACTTTATTAAAATAAAGCTGGTACAAAGAAGCTGAACACTTAAAGTTCAGGAAAGGTAAAACAAAAGGAAAGGTAGCAAAACAAAACAGGTAACAAACCTGGATACTTGGAAAACATAGGAGGGAGGTAAATCTAGAATACAGACAGGAAACCAGGAACTATGGGAGACTGAACCAAACTGGGGAAACATTGATGAGGAACAGAGGCCTGTACTACGAAGCCGGATTTTTGCTTAGCGAGCTAACTTCAGGGAAAACTGTGGGTTTCTGGTCCTACGGCGCTGGTTCACTTCTTACCGGGCTAGATCTCCATGGTGACTTATGCTGAATGGCAAACCTGCTCCGGAGCAGGTTTGGTTCCAGGAAAAGAGATCAACTCAGTGAAAGCCTCGCCTGCTGACCAATCAGAGCTCAGTGTGCGGAGTCATATTACAGGATAAAGGAAATACAGAAAAACTACCGTTGCAGGAAAGACGGCCGGCAAAAATCAACTGACTTAATAGAATATCACCTCCCATCTTCAGAGCAATCCGACTATTATAACATTAGCGTTAAGAAAGCTTAGTTAAATATCTGACACAACATAAGTAACCAGATCAAAGTAACATTACGTACAGTACAGTCCGCGGCACTGTGAGTGCAGACGTCGATGTGTCCCATTATCATTCATATCACATCATAATGTATCATATATTTCCTTATCTGATTCAGCTTCTTGAGCCATATCTGGCCGTGCAACACTTACAGTGTCACATACTGTATGCAGAAGTATTATTTTAAGCACGACATTAAGTTGACGAAACACTCGAGTCAAATGTAATTAAAGTCAGATTCACTCGTGTCTTAGCACTGATATCATAAACCTGTTAATGTACGCATTCAAACACCTTTTTTTTACCAGCTCTATTCACCTCGTAGGTGCAACTATGTGGCTGTTATCCTGGATAAAGTGTTTAAGTCATGGATGTTTAAAGTTTAACTTCTTCATATTTGTCTAATATTATAGTTCACTTTTCATTCAGGAAGTATGACGCTGCGCTGTCAGTACGCTTCTCCATGTTTGTGATAGGTCGAATGCTCCAGATACCACCCACTAGCCCCTTCATTTGACAACAGCAGGTAGAAAACGAAGCCGTACATCACACCGGGACAGAAGAAGCAGGGCGTGAGGTTAACGGAGAGAATTGATAACAAGCGTCGTAGGACCGGCTTAGCCGAAGAGGCCGTTTGTTTTGGATTAGGTTAAGACCAGTAGAACTTCTAGACATGATCCAGGCGGAGCGATTGAACTGGAGTTCGTAAGTACAGGCCCCGCTGATAATGGCACGGCTAAAGAGAAGAACAGATCATATAGCACAAACAAGACTAATCCACAAAACAAGACACGAGACTGGGGAAGGCAGGCAAAAAGACATGAAGTAAACAGGACACAGTACACAAAGGAACTAGACTACGGCAACCCTCTGCTGGTCTACCTGCATGTGCCATCCGACCTCGCGCTCATCCAGAATGCAGCGGCTCGTTTGTCTTTCAAGCCCCCTATCCAAATATCCCCANTTTGCTCCCGATCCGATTCCGATCATTTGATTTTGACAATTTGCCTATACCGATTTTTCCCGATCCGATCTTTATGCAATGCATTGAGAAAAAAAAGCAAAAAAGCATTCAAGTTGTCCCTTAAGGTTATTTTTTTAATTTAAATTGGATATTCTATCCAACATGGATATAGCTTCTTTTTTTCACAGCAGCATTGGATCAGTTCAGTTGTGCAGCATTGGATCAAAACAAAATCAAGCTTGTCAGTACTCGTTAGCTTACTGCTACAATTAGACACTGCGCCCTGCCCACTCTGTTGCCAGATTTGAGAGAAATAAGCAACCAGGTCTATGAAAACAAGCCCCAAAGAAGCAACACATACATGATGTTGTGTAATTTGAAACCAAAACTAAGGCCTCAGGATGACTTTAAGACTTGAACATGGTCATTTTTGTTTTGTAACATTGAATATAAATACCGATTCCGATCTTTTGAAAATCACGTGATCGGCTCCGATCCCCGATCACGTGATCGGATCGGGACATCTCTAGTTTTTATGAATGTAAACGGTCTGCACTCTGCAGAGTCAATAGCCCTCAAAGTACAACCTGTAGCAAGTAAAACTATAACACAGAAAAGACCTGTCTATGCTGCCCCAGAACGCCTCGTTGGAGATTTGTCTTTTTCCATTGTTTGCTTCCTGGGTTCTGTGACGTGTGAACACTTGGCCCAAATGGAGCACCTCACACACCAGGATCCCTTGGCTAACTAACAGGGAGTCCCCATTGACGTGCATAGAGCTCCCTGAACGCTGGTATGCTGGTAATAGACGAGTTGGGATCGTGGAGAAATGCTCTCCGCAGACCCATTCTCAAAGCGTTATAAACCTTTTACTTACACAATGTCAAGCCACACTTATTGTTTTTACTTCGGCTGTGAGTTTTTGTGTGTGCTCAGGATGAGTTTAGCTTGTTCTCGCTGTATCGCCAACCGGAAACCTGTCCGCTCCTCGCAGCAACGAGCCTCGCAACGTCCAGACCAACGTCCCGACCAATCAGAGCACACTGGGCTCACAGGCAGGAGCTCCAACAAGCCGTTTAGGACAGAGTGGTGAATAAACATACTACAGAGATGCTGTATGAGACACCAATGTGATTTTGGAAAATTGCACAATTTAAATCTATTCTAGGAGACCTCAACAATGGAAATATGATCAGTAGAAATGGCCATGACAATCCAAAATATTCCCACACCGGAGATGTGGTATTAGGTTTTGCAACCAATTCCATTTAACTTCAAATTCCCCTCGAGTAAGTCACACGTTGTCTCCTGCTTGTCTCTATATTATTCATTTGGCTGCACTGCTGCACGCAGAGTGTCCTGACCTGGCTGTGTGTGAGCCCCGCCCCTCACAAGCATGCTTGGCCGGCAGACACAGCGCCCCTGGCTAAAATGCTGGTCACATCCTTATGTAAACAAACACGCATGTAAACGGCAATTTATCGAGGTCAGAAAAGTTATCGAGCTCATTTTTATTTATCGTACGATAAGTCAATGAATTGCTTATCGCGACAGGCCTACCCATCCATTCATCTTCTGCTGGATTCTGTGTTTTAGGACCCGGTGCCACCAGAGCTCATCAAACTGCTGCAGAAGTCTGAAAACTCTCTGCTTCACCACATCTTCACCGACAAGGAAACTGAGATCCCTACCAGCAAGGGGCTCAGTAAAGTCACTGTGGTCTCCAAGTTCAAGGTGGGAGCCAATTAAAGCTTTTATTACAAGGGCTGTTTAGCTTGTCAGTAGAGCTCCCTCTGGGAGGGTGTTGTCATGGCACTGATGCCTTTAATGTCTCATGGTAGAACTCTCTGGAGAGCCTGATGAGGATCCTCCACACCACAACTCCTCACTACACTCGCTGCATCAAACCCAACCCTGACTGCAAGCCGCTGACCTTCAAAAAGGAGGAGGTACACCATGGCAACAATCCGAGGCAATGCTTTGCACTTTCACACGAGATACCTGTTCTAATGGATGTTCTCTGTCTGCTTTCAGGTCATCATGCAGCTGGAAGCCTGTGGGATTGTGGAGACTATTCATATAAGTGCTGCTGGCTTTCCAATAAGGTGACCTTTGTTCATTTTTTAACTATCTAAAAGGCACAGTTTACCCCTAATCAATAATACATATTTTTTATCTTAGCTATTTATAAATCTAGTGTGTTTTGATTGGAGTTGCTGAGTGTTGGAGATATCGACCGTACTGCACCTGTGTGAGCGTACTCCCCTTGTCCATGAGGAGATGCCGGTTTCCTTCTGTACAGTGATAAGGTAGTTAGTTTTTCTGGGACAGACAACTGAATTAGCAGCGCCACAACAATGGCCAACATTTTGAAATTGGGAAACATTTTTCCAGGGAAAGTGTAAATAAAAGTTACAGTAGATCGCCTTCAGTCAGTTTTCTAATCTGTCGAAAAGATGTACAACCTTCTGATTTCTCCATCATTATTTAATAAAATTGGTCAATGACACGTTTTTTCTTCTCTGTGGTGTCATTTGGTATAAAGAAGTAGTCCCCACATAAAACTGCTCACAACAAGCTCTCCTTCTGGAAAAAGACATTGCTGTTGATATTTCCAACACTCGTCAACTCTCATTAAAACAAACTATACTCATAAATAGCTCTACAGGTAAGAGGACAAATATTTGTGTTTGATAATGTATTGCTTCGTTTTTCTTGGATTTTTGTTGACTTGTGATTTCTGTTCTACAGAATTCCTTTCAAAGGTTTCATGCAACGTTATGGACTGATTGCGAAATATTCACATGTCAAGTCAGGCATCCATTCTGTTGGTAAGTGCAGTTCGTTGTGGGATCAATTCCAGCTCAATGTCTGCGTGTTAACTGTAGACAAAGAGTGAATGTATTTCCTCTCCTTAGGTCTACTGATTTATTGTCCTTTTCCTTCGTTAGACCTCTTAGTAAATGAGACCCTCAGTTCTCTACTCTCCTGGGGACTTTCCTATTTGGTGTATAACAAGGGAACTATCTAACAAAATAAGCAACTTCTTCTGAACTCTCCAGGTAAATGCTTGCCCCTCTGAATGCCAGAGCTCGCTTTGCATGTTGCTTCTTGTTTCTGTACTGATTCCTGATCAGTGGCTGCTTTTTGCAGGGATTACAATGTTTTTCTGTCCGGCTCTTTGTTCCAAACTCGAATATTTCAACAACTATTGGATGGATTGCTTTCATGATCCTCAAAGGATTTACCATTTTCTTTGTTTTTGACCTGAGAATTTTAGTCAAATGTTTAAACGCTTTTACAATTTGGTGCAAAATTCATGTTCTCCTCAGGATCATTTACAAAAACTCTGGTGATCCCCTGGTTTTACCTACCTAAATTGTAATTAATCCAATAGTCTGATTTATGACCAAATGCATGCAGCCTTAGCTGTAGCAATGTTGGTAAAGGAGCCTGCTAATTCTTATTGAATGCTGCCAAATGTAAGCAGATTGGACATTTTCATTATTATGGTCCATTAAGGTTCATATTTGTATTTTGTGCCTTTGCTGTGTGTGTCATGTTTTCATGCTTTAATGTTCAAAAAGCTCTTTATTTTTCTCATACTGCCTGCAGCAGCACCTCTTTTCCTCCTCTGTCTTAAACCAGAGCCCAGTCTGCTCTGATTGGTTAGCTATTATGTAATTGGTCAAAGGCTTAGACATGTCCCGACCCTTACCCTATCACAAACTATGTGTCGGAGTGCTAGCCAATTGAAGCAAGAGTTTTATATAGTGATGTCACCATGTGACAGAAGTAAACAAAGAGTCAAAGGGCCTGAACCACTTCAGTTTGACTCTATGGCCCTTTTTAAATAAGTGCTGCTGTTGATTCTGATGACTCACTGAGAAACAAATACAATGTGTTGAAAATAAATCCAAAGACAGGTAGTGCTGCTCTGCTCTAACCGTAAGTCTGTCTTGTGTTGTTCACTATGTTCTGACTCCTCTGTCTTAGATGCGGGGGCTGACTACATTCTTCGGCGCGGGGTGGAGAATCTCCTCAGCGTCGTGTCACAGCACGAGGCGTTCGACCCCCTGTGCAAAGATAACAGTGGAAAACACAACTCATGGGTTCACTGCGGGAGGACTAAAGTTTTCCTCACTCAGTTGATGGTCAGTGTTTAGATGTCTTCCTTACACATCATTTAGTGAGTGTGTATAACATGAAGAAGTCATTTGCTTATTTGGTAAAAAAGTGTCATGCATTTTTATCAATGTGGTCATATATTGGGGATTTCTCTGGTGTATTTGGAGTACTGACCTACCCTGGCTTTTGTCTCACAGCTAGATTTTCTGGAGTACCAGAGAAAAAAGGTCCTGTGTCAGTGTGCCTTCTCCATTCAGTGCTGCTGGCTGCGGTACCAGCGCCGCAGACGCTGCGCCCGCCTGCTGTCTGCCACTCGGATCCAAGCAGGTGAACTATTTGAATGCTCCTGAGTGGAATCAGTTGATCTCTGTGGCCTCACCCTAATGAGTCTGCTGGCTTTGACCTGAATGTCTGGCCAACAGGATCTCATCTGATGAACTGTTCATGACCGATATTCTCTTGTGCCCACAATGCACGGATTAAACCTGCAGAATGAATGGCTTGGTCAGATGTGTGTGTGTTTATTATGTCTCCTGCAGTGGTGCGGTCCTGGCTGGTGAGGAGGCAGCTCCAGAGGTGGAACAGAGCAGCTGCAGTCATCCAGAACACCTGGAGGATGTGGAGGGTGAGATTTGAAAAGAATACATATCACATCTTGTGTTTTCTTGTTCCAAGTTGTATGAATGAAGGTTATCAACGTTACCTGCTAACGCTCCTGATTAATCTGGAAACCTTAACGCAGAGGGTGACCACAGTAGCTCTTCGTAACAGCTGCCTTGTCGAATCCTTTAGCTTAGTGTCAGAAAATGTTCCGACTTCATGCCAATAATTCAGAAATCATGTTTTAACCTCCGGTATCATTCGATTGGACTATGCAAATTAGTCATTCGAGACAAAAATGTCCACTGTAAAATACTTTGATGAAAACATTATATTAAAAGGTTTTTTTCACAACTTTTTTTGTTCAATCTTTAAAGCAACTTCCGCCCTAATAGAAAATACCAAAAATGTAATCATTTTCAGGATTTTAACCCTTTAAATGCCATTTTGAAAACATGAAACCACTGGTTTTTTTCATGATGAAAACAGAAAATGAGTTATTTTCCAAAAAATACATATCTGGTCACGAAATCAGATTGCACAAAATAGTTACATATTAGTCATTCGGGACAAAAATGTCCACTTCCAAAAACAGCTCTAAAATGACAACAGATTAATATTTTTAAAAACTTTTTGGGGTTAAATCTTTCAATCAACTTCAGTCCTGATCAAAAATACCAAATGTTAACTTATGTTCAGGACTTTAACTGCCAGTTTGAAAACATGAATTTGAGTTTTCTATGAAAAACATGCACAAAAAGGCAGTTATTTTCCATATAATGAATGTTGGGAGGGTTGGATTTTTTTTTTCTTATCACAGTCTTGGATATGTCAAAGATTAGCAACAACATTTATTTTGGTGGATTATTAGTTTTTGCACAGAATCAGATTAAACAAAAAACTCACACATTAGCCACTCGTGTCCCATCCACTCCCATTATAACCACATCTTTTGATCTCTCCGCCATACCGGTATAAAATCATGCATTTTGTAATGTCAGGGTTTTATATTGGAGGAAAATAGTTCAATTTGTCCTTTTTACTGTATATCACCAGATGTGACATTTTACCATTGAATTACATGCTTGTCATTTCTTGGTTTCTTTGCCTGTTGTATAATGGGGCCCTGACAGCCATTGGAATACATGTATGCAACTAATATGATGTAGGTGTGTTGGTACGGATGTGGAAGAGTGGTATCAGCTGAGAAATGTGTGTGTGTGTGTTTGTCTGGATGTACAGTGTGTGTGTACAGAGACAACAATATACAGTAGATTTGGTTTACAGCAAGTCGCAGTTTTCGCCTCATATCTTTTTTCCTTTCTTTCTCTCCCTCATTCCCAAACTCATACACACTCGCAAATATTAAGCCTCCTTATACCTTGTGTGTGATTGAGTGATTGTGTGTGAGAATGAGACAGGAGTAAGTGTGCTCT